AACAAGAAGCTACTAGGAACAAGTGCCTTACTAGTAGTAACAAGTGCATCGCTAGTAGTAACAAGTGCATCGCTTCTAGTAACAAGTGCCTTACTAGTAGTAACAAGTGCCTTACTAGTAGTAACAAAAAGCTACTAGGAACAAGTGCCTTACTAGTAGTAACAAGTGCATCGCTAGTAGTAACAAGTGCATCGCTTCTAGTAACAAGTGCCTTACTGCCTTACTAGTAGTAACAAGAAGCGAACGTAGAAACACATTCTGCACCTGTTCCTTCGAACATATGTAGCGATGCCCTTTGTTCCTAATAGCGTCCTTGCTCCTAGTAGCGATGCCAGGAGCCCCAAACGTAGCTTCTTGTTCCTAGTAGTACGGCCAGGAGCCCCTAGTAGCGTCCTTGCTCCTAGTAGCGATGGAATAGAAGCTTTTATTGAAGGAAACACCCATCAAATAACAATGGCCGATGGCCTCTAACCTACTAGCGATGGCCTCCATCATATTCTTGTTCGTAGCAACATGGCTACTGTGGAAGACTTTTCAGTCCATAGATAAGGCAAGACTTGCTACGATAGATTATGCTTGGAAGCAAGTAATCGTGAATCGTTCTAAGTAGTAACAGTAAATAACCTGATAGTCCCTTGGGTTGGTCAAGTCTAAGCCTCCCTCTCCCTTTTCTTTATGTTTTCCAAGGGCATGCTTCTGGCGGTTACGCTTGCACCTTGATGACAAAATCAATGGTAGTGCGCCCACACTGAAAGACGGAACCGGTTTCGGCTCTTCAAATTTCAGAGAAAAGGCCATCGCTGTTAGGTGGAGGTCATCGCTATTAGTAGCAAGGACGCTACTAGGAGCTCCTGGCCTTACTACTAGGAACAAGAAGCTACTAGGGGCTCCTGGCATCGCTACTAGGAGCAAGGACGCTATTAGGAACAAAGGGCATCGCTATTAGGTTAACTTCTGCAAAAACGGACGCTGTGCAAATTCCGTTTGGACTTTTTGCGCATCTGGACAAGCACGTCTGCAGACTCCACCTGCAGGATGTAAAGATCGCAAAACTATGGGAAAGTGGGGAACACAGTTCTTCTAAACATGATATATTAAAAAGGACTGAGAAACTATGACACAACAATTAAAACTCGTACCCACTTGGGTTCTTCTTCTTCTTCTCCCACACCCAGATTCAACTGGCTCCGATCCCACTCCAACCCACCTCAGAAGCCTGCGGCCTGGCATCTTCCATCTTCTTTCAAGCCACAATCCCAAAAGAAGAAGTTCCACGAAATCAATAACATTTTTTGGCTGGTGGAAGCATGTTCAAACTCTTCAAGTCTTTTTCCACTTTAGACTCTGAGATGTCTCTGCTGTCTTCGTTTCCAGCCTGCCGCATTATCTCCGCCTTCTTCTCTTCCAATTGCAGCTTACTCCGCGCAGACTCAAGCAAGAGCGAAAAGAACTGGCTTGATGAAAACAGTTCACCGGAATCCCTTCAGACATGTGGAAAATCGATGAGCCCCCATCACACTTCTGGGACCTACAAATAGATGTTTCTTCTCTTTGAGTAGGGGAAGCTATTAGGAACACGTGCATCGCTTCTAGTAACAAGTGCCTTACGAACGTAGTAACAAGAAGCTATTAAATTAATAGCTTCTTTGTTACTACTAGTAAGGCACCTGTTACTACTAGCGATGCACTTGTTACTACTAGCTCCGCAGCTGGCCTTTGTCACAACCGCTGCTTGGTTGAGGCGGGTCTCTAGGAGCGAGATCTTCATCCGCACTTTCCCAACCTGCCGGAGGCATCCCTAGTAAGTGGGAGGTCGCTCTTCGGTTGGAGGCCATTGCTATTAGGTTCCTTTTGCTCTCAGGTTGGAGGCCGTCATCCATTGTCCACAAACCGCCCAAATCGCGATAGCGCTTGCTTGATTTGGGGCGTCGAACATGGACGAAGCGACTTGCCCCGGAACTGGTAAAACAGAAACAGCTCTGCTCACGACATATTTCCCTTTCAGCTCTGCTCAGACTTTAGCCTCCCAAAACCTCAAACACAAAATATCTTCTGATCCTTGCTTGTGCCCCTCTTTATCCTTTGTCTCTTTCTTGCTTCTGCACTTTTACGTAGACATCTGGCAAACATTGAAGTACCCTGGGCCTCCAATCGTGCCATGGTTTTTGCCTGCGCACTTGAAACAACTATACGACAACAAAGAAGCGACAACTCGGAAAACGAAAAACCTATTCCACTTTGGTTACTTTCCAAGGCCTATCTCACATGCCCAAAATCTTCACAGTTGCAAGAAACTCTTTGTCGTGGGGGTAACCTCTGGCTGGACGGTGGGACCAGCCATGTGCAGATTTATTGTCTCACAAGTCATGCATGCTCAGCAAGATTGGGCGATGGGAAAGTAGGTGACAGGATCAAACAGTGGGTATGAGGTGCAAAATGCCTGTGCTTCTGGGCAAGCCCGCAATAATTCAATTCGTTCAGGGACGTCCGCTAAATCCTCCATGAACTGAATCCAAAACTGAGATGGCGCACACTCACAGCCCCACTCTTCTGATACTTGGGTAGAATCTGACGACCATTCAACCAGCCAATGAATGATTTCGCAATCTTCAGAGATCCCTTGGCACAACAAAAGGACTTCTAAGAGGATGGGCAACATGGCGGGGTGCTGAGATATGATTTTGGAGCGCAACGGTGGCACAAGGGCACAAGGGTCATCGTTATTTACGCTCTTGTGTTTTCAGCCTGCTGTCTCAACTGAGACCAAGTGAGATCTTTTGCATTCGCGACCCTAAAACGCAGGTCTAAGAAGTATGGCGCACTTTCCCGAAAGCATAGCGAAGGATTTTTTCGTTTTTCCCGAATGCGTAGCTTTGTTCGCGGCTCGCAGCCGTTGTCAGGTGTTCCCAACCGCCCGCGGTAAGCCGCTATGGCGCTAAAAATTGGGCGAAGCTTTTGGAGAGGGCCTTGGATGGAAGCATGGCGCGTCAGATTCGTGTGAAATAGAAAGGATACATGTGGAAACGTAACAGGATGAAGTGTGGAGGCTGATTTTGCTGCGCAAGTGCAGCGCTCGTTTTGTAGACCTGAAGTGTGAGTTTTGGAGGGAGTCTCGCAAGGGTGTCCGACAAGAGTGTCCAACCAGAGCGCTGCCTACAAAAGTGTCTTACAAGATTGTCAAGAAATGTTTGGCCGATTGTTTTCGATTGCGTGTTTGCATTCGGGTTCGTGAGTTCCATCTTGCTTTTTAACAAAAGTTTGCGCTCAGAATGATGGGATCAAACAGTGTACATCGGTTGCCTAGAATCCTGGAATGTCGGCGAGCTGGAGGTGATGGATCGCGACGCTTCCGATATATCTGGATGACTGAAATCATATTCTTGTTTCTACTAGCTTCTTGTTACTACTAGTAAGGCACTTGTTACTAGTAGCTTCTTGTTACTACTAGTAAGGCACTTGTTACTAAAAGCGATGCACTTGTTCCTAGTAGCTTCTTGTTTCCAATCATATTCCAACGCGGTCTTACCAATGGGATGGTCGAGTATCCAATGCATATTGATGGTACACATGTTCACTGGGACTTGTGACCAAAAACTCAAAACATCCACTTTAGATCTTGGTTTGTTCCGGTGTTTTCTGGCGTGTCTTTCCTTAACCTTTCTTATTTCATTTCCTTTCCTTTGGACTCGGACTCCTTTTTGTCCACGGCTCCCACGTCTCCCTCCTCGCCTCGTTCTCCATTTCGCTGTCAAGGCCCTGGGCCTGACAGCAACGGCCGTTTGCTCGAGATCTTCAGCCAGCTAAGAACATAAAGGAACATAAATGAACATCAAGGAACATAAACAGTGAAAAGGACCCCCAAAAAAGAAAACGCCTGCTCCTTGGCGGCAGCAAGGAAATCCTTTGCGGCATCAACTGCTGACTCCGCTGCATCCGTCCTGAGGGATTCGTCGATTGGAGGATTTCGTCGATCGGAACCTACCGATCCCATACGAGTGGTTACTTGGCAGCAAAAATGTTAATAGCTAGTAGTAACAAGTGCATCGCTTCTAGTAACAGGTGCCTTACTAGTAGTAACAAGAAGAATTTAATTAGAATTATAACTAAAAGCTTCTTGTTACTACCAGTAAGGCACCTGTTACTACTAGTAAGGCACTTGTTCCTAGTAGAATTCTAATTACTAGCAAAGGAATCTACTAGGACCTTTTCGCGCGCGCGGGGGGAGGGGGAGGAATAGCTTGGCAGCAAGAATGCTAATAGCTTCTTGTTACTACTAGTAAGGCACTTGTTACTACTAGCGTGGCACTTGTTACTACTAGCTTCTTGTTACTACTAGTAAGGCACTTGTTACTACTAGCTTCTTGTTACTATTTAGCTGTATGTACCTGTTTGCTCTGGTTTGTGCGAAAAAAGATAGACCAGCAAATGCTGAAGGCATAAAGGAGGGAACATCACACCTGAAGTGGAGCCATCGGACCTGTGGAGACGAAACTGGGCAAACACATGTTTTTAGCCCGCCCTTAGTTGATTGAGTAGGCAGTAGGCGCCTCCTCTCTAAGGGATAAGGGAGAAGTAAGCTACTAGCTACTTAAGCTATTACCTACTCAAGCTACTCTACTTTCTTTCTCGATTTTCCATGTCCTTTTTCCTAATCTTTCTTAGAGGTCATGGTTCGAGGCCTGAGGAGATGATGGAAAACTGGGCAAACAATCCTCGGAGACCTTCTTCTGATCGAGTTTTGACCCATGCCCACGCATCGTTTTGAACTGCTAGTAGGTTGGAGGTCATCGCTATTAGTAGCAAGGACGCTACTAGGGGCTCCTGGCATCGCTACTAGGAGCAAGGACGCTATTAGTTGGAGGTCATCGCGATTAGGTAGGTTGTTTGGACAACTTGCCATCC